GTCCTCCACCGTCCCGTCGAGCCTCTTCGGACCCCTCGGCCACGCCGGGATGTTCACGGGCGCCGATTGGCGGAGCTTCGCCGGAGCCTCCTCGCGCCGCGCCTCCTGGGGGATCACCATGGGGCTCGATTTCCGGCCGACGAGGCGGTGGCCCTCGTCGTAGAGGATGGCGGAGAGTCCGGATCTCGACGGATTGAAGCGGCGGCGGCCGCCGTCGGGGGGCGGGCGGGTGTGCGGGGCAGGGGAGGCGGCGAACGACCAGACGACGTCGCTCTCGTGGAGCTCGAGCGGGTCGACGATGCGGTTCGGGTTGAACGACGGGGTCTTGGTGAGGCGGAAGAAGGGCGGCGGAGAAGGGCGGTAGACGGTGGACATGTCCGGCGATAGTTCTGCCATGCGAGCTATCTCTCAGTCCCTTCTCCTTTTCTTTTTTATTATTCTCATTTTGGGGAAAAAATAATAATGCTTTTTAGGGTGTATTTATAGTTGTGTTATTTCTTAAAATGTTTTTGAGGTGTATATTATATTTCTTTTAATCTAAATTCAGAAAAATAATTGCTAATCTTACCCTTTTTCCCCTCAACTGCTTTAAAAAAAATTAAAAAAAAAAATAGCGGTTTTATGAAAATAATGTTTCTATATAATTATGGCTTATTTTTTTATATTAAACTTCTTGATTTAAAGAGTAAAAAAAAAAATTATTATATGATTCAAGTTGGAAAATAATTAATATTTCAAAATTATGCTTTAATTTTTCATTTCAATGATTAACATGTATACAATTGTCACATTATAATTTATACATATCAATATATCATTCATTCAAATAGTTAGAATATGATTTTTAAAAAACAATAATAATAAAAAAAATTAATCCCAGGTCATTACACCAACAAAAGCAAATCAATAATTTATTACAATATCATTATTACCATAATAATGTATATAGACAAAGTGAGAGCAATTGTGATAGAAAATAGTATGATATTGGTCTTTCATAAAAGCAAGATTTTTATTTTAGAATATAAAGAGAATCTTCCCATATCCCCTAATATCGCAAATAATTAGGTGTGCCTTGGCACACCTAGTAAGGTGTGCCAAAACTTTTTTAAAATGAACATGTTTCATTACAAAATGAACATGTGTAAAACATATTTACACATGTTCATTTTGTAATGAAACATGTTCATTTTAAACTGTCTTGGCACACCTTGCTAGTTGTGCCAAGGCACACGGTAGTAGCACTGTCCCTAATATTGTTGTATTGAATGTGGACAAGTTTTTTTTTTTTTTTTAGCTCAATTATGTGGTCATGAATCATGATACTTCATTTATTTAATATATTTATTTTTATAAAAGTTATCATATTAAATGAGAGGCTATTATTTTAATAGTGTGTTTTGGCCTTTGGGGATTTTGGAAAGTGATTGTCACGAGATTCAATAAAAAGTGGGGTTATTAGTTGCTGCTGCCTCTTGTTTATGATTGGAGTTTGCTGCATATTTTGTATAATTGCACCTTTTTTTAGTTTATAGACATTTGTATATAATAGTATTAATAACAAAACATTTATTTACTTTCATGTGGTCCATTGCATATGGAGCTGGAAGAGTTATTGTTGACAATTCTCCTGGTATAGTGTTAATAATTGATTAGATCAAAATGCCTCAATTAAATTCTAGTGCTTCTTCTATTAGTGAAGTTTTTAGAAAAAAAAATATCAAACGACGCAACGCACCTTGGGTCGCTATGGAAACAGCCTCCTTGTATGATTACAAGAGTAAGGTCTACGTACAACTGACCCCCCATACCCCAACCTGTTGGGAATATACTGGGTATGTTGATGTTGATGATGTTATTTACTTTCATGAATAGTTGTCACAAATTATGATAGTTGCAACAACCAGCATATGAAATATAAACTGCAAGTGTAACGCCCCACTTTTATTTGTCGAAAATCAACATAAATTTTCAAATTTATTTAAAAATTAATTGTGGTGTTACTTATTTTCAAATTAATAATCAACAATATTCTCAATACTCAATCATCAATCATCATTCATCAATAAACAATCATAAATCCTCAATCATCAATAATCAGTCAACAATAATTCAATCTTAAATAGAAACTAAGGAGCATCTCCTTATCAATATTTCAATTCTCAATAATTCAATATTCATAAATATAATAACCAGTTCAATAAGCGGAAACAATACCAAATACTAAGTGACCACCACTCGCATCGCTCCGCCGTGCCCGCACTTACTAACCTGCATCCATGTTGGTTAAAATAAAAACTAGTCTTGGTGTGAGAACCGTGAGAACCATATTTGATGCTATTTATATATGTGCATGATGTTATTTTTAATATTGCATGTTGCTATTATTTTCGCAAATGTTAATATAAATTGTGTCACTATTTTTAATCAAATACATCCTAATTTAAATAGCATTAAAACATAATCAATCATAACAATATGTACAATTAAAGATAGCAGTTTCCACGGTTCTCACACTAGCACTTGGTTCTCATTTGAACCACATCCTATAGAGGTTGGTTCAAATAAGAACTAGTATTGGTGTGAGAACCGTGAGAATCATATTTGATGCTATTTATATATGTGCATGATGCTATATTTTAACATTACATGTTGCTATTATTTTCGCAAATACTAATATAAATTGTGTTGCTATTTTTAATCAAATATATGTATATATATACTTCACAATTTAAATAATGATAAATTAGTGTATTGAATAACGGAGAAGACTATCGTCCCGTCACGAAATCATTAGTTATTGTAGATTGTTGTAAGTATTTTACCGGAGTAGAATCGAAAGATTCAACACCGGGTCGTATCGCAAGGAAGGTTAGCCGGATTCAATTGCACGAATATTCAATCACGAAAAAAAGAGAAGAAAAATTCCTAAACTCTATATTCAAATTGGTTTGGTTTTGATTATCAACTAAGAAACTAAGCTAA